GAATCTGTGCCCTGGTGGGAAGTGAAGACAGACAATGAGATCAGTTTCATAAAAGGTACAACAGGCTGAATATGTTGAAGGACCAGATAAGAAGACAAGTATCTATAGCAGGATGACCTAGGTAGAAGGAGGGATGACTCACTCTGGAAGTACAGGGACCACTTCTAGACTCCTGTAGCTTGCTATGCTTTGCAAAGCTAAGAGCAGATTCCAGAGGGATGGAGCCAGAACCAACATCCAATGGGATGGGTTGCCTGACCTGGAATGGGACTGCCTCAAGAGGATGTGTGTTCCATATCACTGGAAGGATTAAAGTTCAGCAATGTTGCTCCAAGGATCCTAATATTGAGAGAGAGGATGGAATGGATGGTCCTAAAAGGAACCTTTGTGGTTCTATTGGGAATTCTGAGCATGGGGATAAAGGTTATTATTGTTCCTACTAGGGCCTGATATACTTATTTATTCAACTGTCTCAAGGTTACATGACCAATTCTAACTGCCCAATTTTTTTCACAATGGATTGGGTATCGCCATTATTAGAAGAGCACCACATATATTTTGTGTTTGAAGAGGAGTCTGATGGTGGGACCTCAGGTTACTAGCTTATTATTAGTTGTCACTACAATCTTGTGGCCCTGTTTTTGAAAGTTGAATGACTCGATGGTGATGTGTAACCTAGGACTAGAAGAAACAATAGGGAATATTCCCAGGACACAATTTATCACCTTTTTTATGGAAAAAGAACAGAAGATAGCCAAACAGTAAATGTAATACTAAAGATAGTCAAAACAATGGAAATATATCTTTTTCAGAGCTATAAAAAAATCTGCTATTTCTCAGTACATGCAGCCTGTGGAAAGTTCCAGGGTATTTATTTTCTAGATGTAGACTAATGGGTCTTCTTCTCCACTAAATTCAAACCACCGATGGACAAGGTCAAGAAGGATGAATGAAATTAGAATTGATGAGCTGAGTGTTGTGATTTTGTTTCTTCTACAACTTGAATTTTTGCTTTAAGAATTTGGGGTCCAAGAATGTGGTACAATTCCAGTAGCTTCGCAGAGATATTTTTGGAGCAGGCCACATTGTTTTGCAGAAGGAGAATGCATTCTATCCCCACATGGTATTGTAGAATCATTATTCATTTAACAAAATGTGGTCTTTTCAGCTAGCAAGTTTAGTTCTATAATTAAAATGGACTAAAAGTATTCTGGGGTATATCTAGAAAAAATATTTTGTATGTATAATATATAATATTTTCTAGAAATTTCCCATGGTGGATCAAACAATAGAGGAAGACTTTTTTTTAAAATAATAAAAAGAAGAGATTTATTATAGGAATTGGGTCGCACAATTATGGAGGCTGAAAAGCTCCATAGTCTGCCCTCTGCATGCTGGAGACCCTGGAAAGTGAGTGGTATAATTCTTTACATTTTTTATTGTTATGGTAATCACCATACATTACATCATTGGTTTGTGATGTAGTGTAGGGGAAGACTTTCTGGTTAGGATTTAGTATGGGCTTTGAAATCTATATATGTGTATATGTTTTAAGTGAATTTTGGGAAGTCAGCAAAACATAAAGTCAGTTGTAAAAGTATTCCCTTTGCTTCCAAATTATCTGTGCAATATTCACAGTGAGGAAGAATTAATACAAAAGCAGATATTTGAAAAAGCCTTCATATGTCTTAATACCATGATAATTGGTTTATCAGCAATTCTTGAGTGCTCACAATGCCAGGTACAGAGGTGACAGATAGTTTTAACTTTGAGTGCTCACCAAGTTAGTTAGCTAACTCATGCTAGTGAGGGAGATAAATGCAGCAGCAGGACACAGGACACAAGATAAGTGAGGTGGCAGGTGGGAGCCGGGCTCCCTGGGAGGTCTGAGAACCCAGGGTAGCTTGAGGACGATGGCAGTGAGCAGGGCTGCCTCACAGGACTCAGCTAAGAGGACCAGAGAGAAGCATGGGGGGGGGGGGGGGGGGGGGGGAAGAGCAGGGTGTGCAAAGTAGTTTGAGCAGCTCTAGTTTTCTTCCTCAGCGTTGTCCACTTACCAAAGAAAGTAAGATGATCATAACCTTGATTTTTATCAGTTTATTTTATTTTTTTTTTTTTTAAAATTTTATTTATTTGATAGAGCGAGAGAGCACAAGCAGGGGGAACAGTAGAGGGAGAGGGAGAAGCAGGTTCCCCGCCAAGCAGGGAGCCCGATGCGGGGCTCGATCCCAGGACCCTGGGATCACGACCTGAGCCGAAGGCAGACGCTTAACCATCTGAGCCACCCAGGCGCCCCGATTTTTATCAGTTTAAATGGTGGCAAACCATTGGGAAATCTTTCCAAAAGGGATTTTCTTTTCATACACTTTGCAAAGTCAGGAGCAGAAAAGTGACGAGGAAGGTCCTACCCGATTGGGTTTGCTCCTGCAACTCTTAGTAGCTTCTTCACAGCCTTCGATCGAGGGTAGCTCACAGGTAGGGGAAGCACTTCCTTCAGTAGTCAGCATTGCTCTGGGAGTTTTTTGGTTACATTTTCACAAATGTCTCATCTCTTTGTATCAACAAACCCTGCTCTTTGAGCCACATGGTGGGTTTCTACTTCTTTCCCATTTTTGTGAGTCAAAATAGGAAAAATGAAGGAAACTCTTCAAGATTAGAACATATTATTTTTTTACTTACTCCCAAATAGCATATTCCCTGTGGATTTAATAAAGAAGGACCTGGCCAGTTATTGGAAGGGTGATTCAGTGTTCCTCTGAAATTTAACCTTACATTGACAGTGCTCGTGTTTTACCTGTAAATGCTCAATTGGTAAAACAATTAAGCTTTAATAGTTGTTCATAATGGATTTCTGTAGCCACATTTCTGTTTTAGTTCGAATAACTAGAAGAAAATAAGGGACATAAATGATTTGTTTTATGTGAAAATTGTCTTTCATATGCAGTCCACAAAAGCAAAATGTTGGACATTTTTAGTACATATAAATCATTAATGAAAAGAATGACTTCTGTTTTCTTTTGGGGTTTTATTTTTTGTGCATGCTGTTCTTCTCTGAATCTTTTCCTTAAAAGCCATCTTCTTGTATGAGGTTCTCAGTATGCTATATCCTTAGCCACCATAGTTCCTAAGGAAAGATAAAAGGACTTCCTTCAAACTAAGGATGGTAAGAGAAAAAATACTCTCTTGAAAGTCCTGGTCTGGAGCAAGAGAAAATAAAAGTAAGATGCTAAAGAAAAAAAGAGTTTAAGATTTGGAACCTGATGGTGTGGGTTCAGTTTCTGGTTCTATCACTTTCTACCCCCGGCAAATTCATTAACTTTGTTTTTCTGTAAAAGGATGTGATGGATAATACCTGCTCTTATACACACCCACCCACCTACCTGCCTCATTAGAGATTTCCTTAGCATTTAAATATGTAAAAGAGCCTTGATGCCAAATATGATTTACAAATACTAGTTGTCGTGGCAACAACTTTTCACTGTACAAATATGATTATATGAAGTTATGTTTCATGTACAGTACTTAGCATAATAGGCACTCACTAAATGAGAATACGCTTTCCTTCTTTCTCAGCTTTTCTTTCAGAGCTGCTTCTGTTCCATTTGTCCCCATTTACCACTAGGCTTTTCTGCTGTTCTACACACTTTGGTTCGTTGATGCTGTAATTATTCTTCCTGCATGCACAGGCTCAGAGAAACAGCTGGTCACCAGCCAACTTTAGGAACCCCCTTCTTAGTTTGGCCATCTAATCGTATACATATTCTCGTTTTAAGCTTCTGTGTGATTAGAACATACATGGATGGATAATTAGTTTTATGTCCTGTAATAACCTGTTTATGACAGTGGAATCTCTTGGGTGCAAATGTTTATAGTTTTGTGAAAAACAACATGTATCGTATTTGTTTTACAAACAACTTTAATTCAGCACTCTACTTTTTACTTAGGTGTTCTCGCACAAAATCACGTTAAGCAATTATTTTCAATTTGTACAATAACAGTACTTAAAATTTATTCAGTACTCACCATGTGTCAGTGCTTTACAGAAATGAAATTATTTAGTCTTCACCACCCTTTGAGATATTATTTACCCACTTTACAGATGGGGAAAACAAACCACAGAAAGGATGTCAGGAGTCAGGATATCGTCACAGTTAGATATGCAGGGCCTCTTTCCAGAATGCCTGGGTTAATTCTACTTCCCCTATTATTATCTGTGCCTCCTTAGATAAATTACTTACTCTTTATGTGCTTCAGTTTTCCCATCTATAAAATGGGGAAATAATCACACATCCCTCATAATGCTATGAGAATTGAACACTGTCTTTCCCCCAAATGGCATTTTAGATTCCCTGAACTATTTCAAAGATCTGTCTACATATATCTTGCTTTTCTTTCTTCCCATCATCAGCAGTAGCATTTCCAATGAGATAGTTCTCCCAGACAATACAAAGTGCTATTTGATGATTTACTGCCTTACATTTCAGTGTTCAGTCAACACCATGGAATCCGAAGACAGGCTCCATCATATTAATTTTTGGAGCCCTAGGAACTTTAGTGTCCCTCTGAGAGAGTGACTTCAAATGAAACCCAGTTCTCAAATTTATTTCATTTTGGCAGAAACAATAACAAGCGCTTTCAGCACACTCAAAAGTGTTAAGCCCCGTGTGGCAAGCTTATACTGTACACATTATTTTTTATTACAGCTTTACTTGGTTTGAACGTTCGTTTCCTTTCCAAGCTCTTAGATGCATTTAACAGCTAAAGATAGAACATAAAGTTATTTTATTGCTTGTGAAATTGCCCTGGCTTGAAGTCAGAAACAACTTTATCAAAATCCTAAGAATCAGCGCAATCAAATGTTGCGTGTGATTTCAGTCTCTTTAAAAGAGTTTTTGTCGTTGAGAAAATGAGCATGGATAAATATTGATTGTTTTTCTGAACTGTGTTTCCCCATTTCCCAAGCCCGTGGTAACTCAGTCTGTTCTCTCGTGTCCTGACAGGAACCAGCATATTCACGGTGTACGAGGCTGCGTCCCAGGAAGGCTGGGTGTTCCTCATGTACAGAGCAATTGACAGCTTCCCCCGCTGGAGGTCCTACTTCTACTTCATCACGCTCATCTTCTTCCTGGCCTGGCTTGTGAAGGTACCGCAGAAACTCTTCCTAATAAAATCTGTGTTTTCCGGCCGTTTCTGCAGATCTCTTGTTTGCTTTCTGTTGCCCTCCGCTTCCTCATCCCCAGTCTTTAGTAAACGTGGTTTGTGATTTTCTTTCAGAATGTATTTATCGCTGTCATCATCGAAACATTTGCAGAAATCAGGGTACAGTTTCAACAGATGTGGGGATCGAGAAGCAGTACTACGTCAACGGCCACCACACAGGTACCATATGGGGGGGTGGTGATGTCCTTTCCCACTAGAACACGGACATATCCGGCCCCACCCTCAGTGGGCCTTGATGGAACTTGGGAAAGCCCTCTGATGAAGGCCTTCTACAGTCACACCCATGGATGGAGCTATTCAAAAATGCTGGTGCAAGGACCCAAGCCCAGACCAACCAGATCAGCTTTTCTGGGTGATAGGATGGATTCGATATAAAGCCAAGATTGTCACCACATTTACTAGGTACTTTTGATTTGATTTGGCCATTATAAGTCTTCAGAAGGCTTACAGATCAAAATGGAAACTGTAGAATTTCCCATTTTTGTAAATATTTATTCATGTAATTGAAAACCAATATAATGGCCTTTATGTATAGGGGTAGAATTATTTGGGGAATGTAAAGTGTATTTCATTCAGAACGAGCCAATCACAGTATGGTAAATTATGAAGAAGACTCCATAATGCATACCTGTGATTTTTGAGGAATCACTATATATTCAGAAGGGTGCCCCTATGCTCCCAAGAAATTGGGAGTGCCCTAGAATTTAATTATAAGTATCAGGGCAGTTATTACATTGAAGGGCAATCCAGATCCAATGTTTTTGTTTTTAATTTTGGTTTGGTTTTGTGTGTGGGTTTTTGGGGGGTTCTGTTTTTTGTGTTTACAAAGAGGCGGGGAAGGTTTATATATCTTAGTCTAATTTGAATCTTTATAAAAGAGAGAGAGAAAAAATTCCTGAATCAAGAATGAAATGATTTTAATGCTTGTGACTATTATTTTAATGTTCATTTTTAAGAGAAATTTAATATAACTTTGTAAATAGTTTAATAGGACTTTGTAAATAGTGGTCTGGGGACAAAGGTATTTGTGAAAGAGCCAAAGTAAAAATCTTACTCTGAAAATCTTCAAATTGAACTTTTATTAACTATATGTTAAAAATGCTATTAAATGTGCTAATATCTGAAAAAGCCCTATGCAGCATCTTTATGGTGTTGTGAAAGTTTGAATCATCTGGCCAACTCATTATAGGTGAAATAGTATTAATATTATTCAGTTCTGGCAAGCAACCATTCAAACTTTCATGAAAGATTTTTTTAAAGTTATGAAGTTATATCACAGATGACATGTAAAAAAAAAAAACAGAACACCAAGTTTTTATTTCTTCTGTCATCTCCTCCAGTGAACTATGAGAAATAATAAAGTTCCAGGTCCATTCTGGTCTGTCCTTTAAGTCAGGTGACAACCTCTGGAAGGTGTGTTTTCTGCTATCGACATTGAGAACTAAATGGAGCATAGATCTATGAACTCAGCGCAGAATTTACATCCAGTGTTCCTGAGAGATGACCTAAGATGTCTTTGAAACCACATCATGCTTATTCAGTAATTTGTATTTATAAAGCCACAGCTGAAAAAGTAGTGTTGGGAAGCTCCCCCAAATCAGCCAGTAGTTCTAATAGAAAGTGAAATGCGAAGGGGATGTTCAACAAAGTTGTGCAAAATGATTTTGATGCAAGATTGTACTTAATCAGGAGGACTACGTTGGTAATTCAGAGGTAATGCGTCTAGGTATTCAGCAGAGGTAATCACACAGAGGATCGTGAAAAACCTTCATTAAGAAAAATGCTGTGGCTGAGGACCTGGTTACTAGGCAACTGGAGCTCCAGCCTGAGCCTCGGTAGAACAGCACTCGGGGTGCCTGGCAACAGGCCCCGCCCAGCCCGTCGCCAGCCACTAGGCGAGTGGCCCAGAGGCTTTAGTGTCTGAGGGAAGGGGGGGCATCATTTCCTGGGGTTCTGTTACATTTGTAAAATCTGACAGAACTCTGTGCACAAGGGCCTCTTATTGAATAGTTTAAAACACTAAATCATTAGTTTCTAATTGTAATAAAACAGGTAGGCATTAAGGAAATGAAAACAAAGGTGGTGACTGTATTGCAAAGCACACAGCTTTTCAGTAATGGTGACACTTCTTGCCAGTCTTCAGCATGTGGAACATTTGCAGTTGTTCTATGTTAAATTATCCTCACAGAAGAGCCAAGGGGGTCCCAGGCTTGGTGGGCTTGGTGGTGTCTTTGAGTCCATTGACTTTTCCAAGAGGGTTGTGTGTTTAGAGGGAAAATTATACATATTAACGGGATGAAGAACGGGCTTTCTGAGATCTTAGGCAGTTTAGTAGGAATTGGCTCTAATATGGACGGTTCAGAGGCAAAAGAGAACCAGTGATGAGAGGTTCCCAACTAATGGGAGGTTGTTTTTTTTTTTTAATTTTAATAACAAAGCAACCTGCCTTCGAATCACAGCATCGAAACACATTACAGAAAAAAATAATGCCAAAGGACTTGTGGGGACCATAATACAACATGTAACAGGAAAACAAAGAGAAAATGAAGTGGAAAATTTCAGAGTGGTAATCATTAGTTTGCATGAGCTCTGATGGGGATAGTGGCTTTCATACCTGCATAATTTTTAGCATGGGTCACTGTTGCCACCAGCTCAGTTAGCTGTTGGGTTAAAGGCCAAGAGACTCATTCATCTGTGATACAATGGTGCCTACATCAGTCCACAATAGACCTACCCCTGCCACATGTGGGCAGGGGTATTGCCCCAGAGCTGGATGTTGGGAGGCACAGACGTGTTACTAGAAAATGTCCTGGACTTAGCATTTCTCTAGCCTAGACCTTTATTCTCACTCCTTAGTTGCTTCACCTCAGACATCTGTCACCAGTCATGTGGTCTTCCCATCTACACTGATTCATGGTGGAGATGAGCTTATTTCACTTTGCCTGGAGAAGAACTGAAAGAACTGTTCAACTTTAGGGCCACAAAGTCTTCGTTTTTGTTATATATACTGATAAGAGACTCAAGGCAGGCTCTGGCAATCAGTATGTATATTCAAATTATGGTCCACTAGGGTCATATTGAGGGATATGGAGAGACAGGACTTGAGCCCTGAGGATTCCTGGATTTGAATATCCTGTTTTCTACCTCACATAATTGTTACATTAACCAATCTAAATGTTGTCTTATAATTCAGGGGACTAAAGAGAAATTAGACATCGAACACGTCTGCATTTCCTTCACTTCATTTTATACAAAGAAGTGACCTTGAGAGAACAATTTTACTAACAATTAAATTGATTCATTTGATTTTGGTCAACTGGAAAAAAATAATTTAACAGAGAAAATTAGTCTGCTACTGATCAAAGCAAATATATGCCCCAGGGATCCTTTGTGCAATGATAGGATGCATGTATAGAAGATTTTTAGCTAGTGACTGACAGGATTGCTTTTGTCTTTTCTCCTTAAAAGGAGACACCCAGAATTTTGACAGGAACTTTAAAAGGCACTTTAAAAGGTTTTCATTTCAACCAATGTATGAATTCTCAGAATGAGCCTATTCATGGGGATGTGCTGGATTCTACCACTGAGAGTACCTTTCAAAATTCATTCTAAAGGGAATCAGAATCCTGTACATAGCACCTAAGAGAAACAGTTTGTAATTGGTATCTTGGATCAAAGAATCTTTGGGCAAATATGCACCTCCGTTTTGTCATTTAAAAATACTTATATGGTATATATGGACAAACGGTAGCTACACTTGCGATGAGCACAGTATAATGTAAAAATAAGTCAGGATAATGCTTCATGAAATAATTAAATTGAGCGTATGTGTAACAGTATTTTGTAGAATGTCATATAGTGGGTGCTCTCTGTATGTGTTGGAAAGTATGAAATAAGTAGCATACTTGGCAAAGAGCCCTCAGTGCAATCTTTGGAAAGTACTGATTCTAGGACGCATGAACATCTGATACACCATTTTTCTGAGTGGATCTTTGTAGGTTGGCATTGTTGAGAATTCCCAGTTTAACCATTAAAAAAAATGTTTTCTAATAAAAAAAATACATATTAAGGTCTATGAATTTTGGCACTTGTCCCTCACCACCTCACAAGTTTTCTTTCTACAAATGATCTATTACCTCTCCTCCCAGGAATCTTAGGTATGGGATCTTTGCATTATCTCATATTTCCATCAATAATTACCCTTTTGAACACAGACTAATGTGAGGGCATGAATAAGTATGGCAAAGAAAATATTTACTTATGTGTGTGAAACTGTGGTCTTGGACAGGAATAAACCTAGCTTCTAGTTAGTGTCTTAGAAAAATAAAAATCCTTAATTCCACCTTATCTCACTTTCAACCACACCCCTCGCCCTACACACACAAAAGGAATTGGAAAGAAAATATACTAGCATAAAATATTTATAAGTGGGAAATGTCTTCCATTTGGGTGTAATATTGACAGATGACTAATTTTTGAGGGAGTAGAGTATGCAGTAAGATAATAACCCAGGCATTCAACAATCCAGCTATCCCATTCAATGAATATCAGATTTTAGTATCCTATACCATTGTGAATTTCGTCACTTATGTAATTTAAGACAAAATACATAAAATTTTTGCTGAGCAGATTAATTTGGCATCATTAAAATAATCTCACAGAGTCTACTAAGTGATATGTCAGTCTTCTACCATTAAAATAACCAGTCTCCTTCCCTGTGCCACATGCACAGTTCTTCTGTTATTCATCCTGAGAATATTTTTCTGTTGACTCAGTGAGGAATGTCCAGTAAATAAAGATAAAAATTCACCACTCCCAGTCAAAAACACACCAGACATAATGCTTTGGAATTCTAATTTTTATTTTTTTCCCCAGGTCTAATATGGAATAATCCCCAATATATTGGGGATAAAATGCCTCCTATCAAGTCTTGTTGAGAAGAATATTTGGGCAATTATATGCAAAGCACATGTAAAACAGAACCTGATGCATAGCAAATGCTTAGTAAATGCAGGCTAGCGATTGCCATTATTATTATGATTATTATTCACTTAAGTTTTCTGTGTTCCAGTGAACATAATTGGAATGACTCAGGTTCTAAATATAAATCCACAAAAAGACAAATCTTTGATAACATAAAAACGGTAGAAGCTGGAGACATAAAGTAGGAGTTCATGATGTTCCGTATTAAGTGTCTCTGACTCATCTCCCTCTTTGTCTTGAAGATGTTTCATGAAGATGCCGCCGGTGGATGGCAGCTGGTAGCTGTGGATGTCAACAAGCCCCAGGGACGCGCCCCAGCCTGCCTCCAGGTGCAGTACAGTACCGTTTTTAAAACTCACCCAGCAAAAAAGGTCTGTGACTTCTATTTTATACAAGGAAGTCCACTGCTCTCCAAACTCTAGGTCTGTCCAAGTTTATCGTCCTGGGGTCAGGGACAGTATTTGACACCATTCCGTGTGTCATAAAAGGACCCACCTTTTATTTATTTATTTATTTTTTTAGATACACGGCAAGGATTTGGTCAATTTCAAGTGAATGAAGGCACACAAGTAATAACATCATGCCAACAGTATTAAATCAGTGAAGAATTTTGTTGTCATATTGGATGTTACAAAAGTATTCTACAAAGGCCTGAATTATTTAAGGGAGGGCAGTCACAGTCACGATTCACTTAAATGAGTACCTTACCAAGTACCTGGGAAGGAATATCTTTAAGAGGTAGTCTGTTCGGCATCTGCAAGCTGAGCAATGTGACATAATAGAGCTGCTTCCCTAACAGGTGCACCTGCAGCAAACACAAGGCTCTGGGATTGCACGTGGGTTCCAAGGTCCTGGGAAGTGATCAGGGGATGTCCCATCGGGTTTCGGGCCTGCAGATTTTTGGACTGCCTGAGCTTTACTTAAAACCCAATAAACTCCTTCTTTGCTTTAAGTGGACTGCACTGGCACCTTCTCGTGCTTTGCCCCCCTCCTCGCCCCTAAATATCAATAATACTTATTCAGAACCATATCACCTTTCCAAAAGCAGCATCCCTCCCACTCCACCTTTCACTCTGTCCATTTCCCTACTCTTTATAAGGGTGAAAAGTCAAGCCACGCCATCCTAGGGACTGAAAATTGACTCTTCCTCCTGGAGAATTTTATTTTCTTCCCTCTGGTTTTCAGTTACAAATCCTCTTCTCACAAGGGACTGATTTTTATAGTTGCTTATGTCCGTCCCCAAAATTCAGAAAGGCTTTGTCATCTGCTTCAGGATTAGAACACACCTTCTTTCTTTCTTTTGGGTCATTCTCTAGGTGGGGGCTCATTGTGCATTTCAAAGATTACTACATGAGAAGCAAAATATTGTACTCTGAACCATTACAGGGAGCTACATTCATATGGCCTTTTAATCATATAGTGATTTGTTCCTATCAGTTAAAGGAATGGCGAGGAAGAGTTTACAGTGAATATTGATGATACCTAATATTATGCTGTGGCTATTGGATGTGACAGTCCTAGTAGTCAACTCCTACAACTACTTCTAGTATTACCATTGCTACTGGCGGTAATAACAATGACAGCAGTTGTAGCTTCTTGCCCAAAATGCACTTTCACTCACTCAGTAATCCATCGGCTGCTATTTACTGATGCTCAGAGAGTCCCGACCAAGAAAAGCACAGCCCCTGCCCTCGTGGAGCTTACTGAAGGGGTACTTCAGGGTGGGTGGACAAAAACCAGCATTGAACTAGCAATTGCAAGAGTAATGAGGATTTCAAAGAAGTAATGCCGGATGCTAGGGGAATATACATTTTGGAGTCCTCACTCCTCCTCAACCAGGTCAGGGAAGACCCTCACTCGGTACAGCCCAGTGATGGAGAAAGACCAGCATGCTCCCTCAGCCTTCGTAGATGAGGAGGTGGAGATCCAGAGGGCCTGGGTGAGCTAAAGTTCCACCTCAACCAAATGGAGAAGCCAGGACCTACACCTGGGTCTTCCGGTTTCTAGTCCCATGCTTTATCCAGTGGGGAAAAAAAAATATGCCAAGGAAACATGAGTTTGTAATAGAAATAATCAGGCCTGCTATGAGTACCAAATCAGAGTCTGACTGGGGCCCTGAATACATTGCTTAAAAGGTATCAAAGGGCGCCTGGGTGGCTCGGTCGGTTAAGCGCCTGCCTTCAGCTCAGGTCATGATCTCAGGGTCCTGGGATCGAGCCCCACATGGAGCTCCCTGCTCAGCGGGGAGTCTGCTTCTCCCTCTCCCTTTGACCCTCCCCCCTGTTCATTCTCTCACTCTCTCTCTCTCTCAATGAATAAATAAAATAAATCTTTAATACCTATATAAAATACTTGTGAATAGATGCCTCAAGGTTGCAATCTGGAATTAGAAAGCAAGTTAGCTTCTTTATCACAGAGATTTGAGATGGCAAGAGATAAATGACCAGGAGAGTGTAATGAAGAGACAGAACTGTACAGGGTTATAGGAAAATGAAGGTCAGTGGAGAGGTGGGTAGATGTTAGGCTAGAATTATGTCAGTGTGGCATCCAAGAGACCTGCATATTAGACATGTTTGTGAATATGGTGGCATGCTTGATAAGTTTTATGAATGATGATACATATGGTTTGAAATGAAGGTGAATAAAGTCTGACGTTTGTTCAACTCAGCTTTTACATGTTTGGTTCTAAATCAAGCTTTCCAGAAGAGCCGATGTGAACGAGTACAGATGCAAAGTGAGATGGCCAAGGGATTGATCTGTTTGTAGTGAGCATGAGCTGTGAATAGAGAGAGTACATTTTCATGTCTGAGTGAAAAATTGATTAACCACTCATCAATTAATTAAAAGAGAAAGAATTAAGTAAAGAAAAAATATTTAAAATAAAACGGTCATGAAATACTCATTGGCTTTTACTAATGATTAATGCCATCTAAAGCTAGGTAACAAGGAAATTTTCATCTGAATCATCCACTCACTCCTGTCTAGAACTATAATGATCTCTCACCCTCAAGGACAAACAGTAGAATATATCACTTCTTTTTATTTTTAAAATGGGCAAAATGTGATATTACATAAAACATACATTAAACCATAGAAATGACATTAAAACATAAGTATTTGCTTTAAATTCCTTCCAGCTTATCCTCCCTTACCCCCTTCCAGAGGTGGCCTAGAGGTCAACAATAAGAGCCAGTTCTTCTAAGACCCGTTACTCCTGCATTTACTCTGTGTATCTCTTACAAAAACAGCATTTCTGCTTCCACGAGGCACTGTCATTTTTCCGTGTTTCTTCTTTCTGGAACACTCTCCTGTCCCACCCAAATTCAGCTCAGAAGTCACTTCCTTAAGGAAGCCTTCCTCAGCCTCAGAGAATAGGGGATCAGCTCCCCTGGTTGCATATTTCCACATCATCCTATGCTTTTCTTTTGTGTTCGTCATAATTTTCATAAAATAAATTAAAATGGTATAATTCATTATTTAAAGTCTGTTTCTCCAACCAGAGGAAACTCAGTGGCAGTAGGGACCACAGCAGTCATGGTCACTGCCAGAATGATTCCTGACACATGGAAGAGACTCAACTGGTGTTTACCAAACAAGAGAACAAGAAAGTGAAAGAAGGACGTAGAACCTTCCTGGCTTGTGCAAGTACTCGTTTGTCTTCTCATATAGAAGCAGCTCTATTTGTCCTCTTGGTCTTGTTATAGGGGACCAGAAATTGAGTGGATGATGGCAATAACACTATTTCTATACAAGTGTTTATTTCTAAGTCTAAAACAAGCAGTACATTGAGATTTGTTTGTAGAAAGTACCCATCAAAGTTGGATAATGTTGGATGCTTTTGTCAGCCTATATCTTCTCGAACATGGTGACAGAGGCTCAACAGGACCTAGCCATGACTTCTGTTATTTCCCAAGGCTGTCTGAATTCTTTTTAAGTTCTTCAGCATGCGAAATAAATAGGTAGGAATTTAGAAATGTAGATTTAGGAATAACGTAGTTGAAAAGAACCAAAACCAATTCCTATCTCAACCAAAAAAGTCAAACTTATTGGAATGAAGCATATAAATAGCTATAATTAAATTGACTCAGTAATTTTGCCATCACTGAAATAAATCAGAAAAATGAGGTATGAATAAATATTTGAGAGTTGGGAAACTGGTCATCCAGAGTCCCCATCTGAGTATTAAAGGAATGGTTGATGTTGTCCTGAGAGTGGAACTTTGTTTTAAAATTTGACCCCAAGTTTAAAACACAGAATATTCTACCCAAAAACCCCAATATCCTACTGCTCTGATAAAATAGGTAACCCATGAAATAAGTTGCCATAAATATGACTTCAGTTCACAATGATGGTATAGTAGTAAGTTGTGCATAAATTTCAATTACTCCAAAATAGTCTTTCCATAAATTTTATGTTTTCAAAATTTCAAAATTTTAAAACCACCAACTCAACATAAATGGAAACTGGTTTGAATGCCTTTATAAGTGAAGGACATTTAAAAACCATCTCTGTCCTTGTTTCAGGTGACATTGCTTTGGATTTGCTTACTCTCTTCATTGGTATTATTTCTTATATTTTTGCTTTCTGTTCTGTTTTCTGTATCCTAGTCTCTTTTATTGGTGTGAACATCTACATGTCTTTCCTGCCAACCATAAGTAATTAACTACTTTAATAAAATAAGGTAGATTGATGTGGCTTAATCTTCCCTACTACAGTTAAACTAAATCATGGTGGGACTGATGCTTCTCTGATCCTGGGTGTTAGATGTATAATTGTTTCTCTCTCTCTCTCTCTCTCTCTCTCTCTGTATGTATGCATGTATCTAAAAGATGGATAGATAGATAGATAGATATGCATATGTATTCCCGCAATGTAAAAATATATATGCATATATATACACACACATTTTTTTTTACCTTGCAGCAATAAATCTATTAAGATTTTATATATTCCATTGAGCAGTGATAGGATCTGAGCAACAAGATTAGTTTTTTTTATTGTTTCCCTACATAGCTACATACACACACACATATTTTCCCTCATTTCCAATGTTGCAATCATTGTGGTATCTCTGCTCCCTCTGATTATGGAAGATTATTCCATAGCTGATTATGGAGCTATCAGATGAGTTAGGAAACTCAGAGGTCTTCTTACTCTTCTACAGAGTGATAGGCTCTATAGAGCCAGTGGTAGAAGAAAAAATAGGCACCTTTGGTCTGCAACTAAAAAGTCTACAATATCTACTCTGTGTTCTGAGACACAATTTTTAAGTGTAATCATAACTATAATTATAACCATATCGGGAGTCTACACAGGCATTCAGGAAAAG